TTAATAAAGACAGCATTTCACCATGTTGGCAGGCTGGTCTCAAACTCCTGAACTCCAGTGATCCACCTGCCTCGGCCTCCCAAAGTGCTGGGATTACAGGCATGAGCCACCATGGCGGGCCATATTCTGAATTTCATAGGCAAGTGTCAAGAAAGTTCCCGTCATTTATTACTAGAGTCCATATTCCACATAAGCAGTTAATGTGTGTTTTAATTTCTACAGTATCTCAGCACCACTTATAATTCCTGGCATTTAGTAGGTGTTCATTAAATATTCATAGTTATTATTGCCTGGGCTATTCATTCAATGTTGAAGACGATTTAGTTCTTTCGTTGGACATCAAATACTATATAACTTCAAGAAAGGAACACAACAGACTCATGCAGAAAATAATAAAATAATCATAAAATTTTTTCCAAGCACACAGGTGCAGCCCTTGTCCAGAACAATGGAAGTGGCATGGAGACAATTGCTACCAGTTCTATAAAGACAGCAAAAATTGGGAGGACTGTAAATATTTCTGCCTTAGTGAGAACTCTACCATGCTGAAGATAGACACAAAAGAAGAGCTGGTAAGATTCCGAGGCTTTTCAATGTTTGAAGCATTCTCAAAAAGAGGTTGTAAAAGAGCTAGGCAAGAAGATTCTAAGGATCAAGAATATCGGTCCACAGGTTTTCATGCTTGTTTTAATCAGGGCCTGAGTCTTATTCCTATTGCTTTGAATGGTCCCCTGAAGTAGATAAAAGGAGTTGTGCTCTCCACAAATACCCACCCCTTAGAAACATGAGCAATATCACTTTAAACTTGCCACTCAGTCAGGGAGCAAAGGTAGAATGTCTTCTTTTCTTTTTTGGTTTGGGTGGAAAAGGAATAATGTTGATGCAATGTCAGAAACATGAAAATAGTGCTGTCTGCTCTTTCATTCTAAAAGTGGCAAAGTTTTTAAGTGGAAAACATTTAACTAAATTATTACCATAATCTGCAAATATATATCTTGTCTTCCAGAAGTTTACAGCCTAGGATAGACTGGTCAAGGCAAATGTGACAATAAAACTACAAATTGACATATGTTTAGTTAGTACATGCAGTTAAAGTACACTAATAAAATATGATTATTCCCTTTCCTCTCATATTTATTGCCTTTGAATTGAAGTTCTCAAACAGTATGGCCATTGCTTATTTATCATTGCTTCTCTAGAATTTAGCAGAGATTTTTCTTGATGAAGAGTAGGTTATCAAGAAAGGATTATTTAATTGAATTAAATGCCAAGCTCACTACACAAATTCTTAACATTGTTCTAATTACCTCTTAATTTCTACCTACTTCCTGAAATCTGTAATGAAAGAAACTCTGTAATTTCTCTCACCTACTAAAATAATATTTTATAGCCCTTTCTTGATGATTTAGTTTAGGCATAAAGTGAGGTAATTTCTTTGACTAAGACTGTGCCCTGACATAAACCCTCCTAATTTTTCTTATTCTCTTTGTTTCCTCTGCCTCCAGTGTATACTGCAGACTCAGGTATATAATTGTACTATATTACATCATGTGGCAGGAAATTTTCTTGTTTTACTTTTTTTCCTTTTTACCTTTTAGCATATTCAGGTAACAAGCGAGAAATTTTCTTGTTAAAGCTATGTAGTTATTTTCTATCATGAACTTCATATATGTCTATATATTTAAATCATTTTTGTATGATTTGCTTTCAAAACTTATAATTTGAAGGAATCCCTCCTATTTAATTGGAATCAATATTTTCAAGTACAGTTATTTTCACATGCTCACATTATGACTATTGCTTGGTAACAGTTTCATTTAAATTTCCAATAATCTCTCATTAAATCAGTATATTTTATTAATTATCTGAAGGGTTATGAATAGAACAATGAAATAAAGTGTATTGTTGAAAAACTCATTGTATGGTGGAAACTAAAGATATCAAAATGGATAATTATAATAAATGTTTAGATAATTTTTCTGTTAAAATATTAGGAGTGCACTGAGCCTGGGGAGGTTGAGGCTACAGTGAGCCGTGATCATGCCACTGCACTCCAGCCTGGGCAACGGAGTGAGAACCTGCCCCCACCAACTCTCCAAAAATATGTATTAGGAATGCAAAGTAAGACTAGATACATTTTAAAATAACTTTTAAAATCATTTAAAAATCATTTAAAATATTTTAAAAATTATTTTAAATTTAAATTTAAATTTTTAAAATTATTTTAAAATAATGTATTTTAAAATAACTTTTAAAATACATTTTAAAATAACTTTTAAAAGTTATTTTAAAATGTGTCTTGTCTTACTTTGCATTTCAAAATAACTTTTAAAATGTAAACATATGTTAAATATGGATATTAGGAAAAGAATTACCATGTATAGGACTATACATATGTGTGCTCATAAATATTTATAAATTGAAATTTAAAATTTTCTTTCTCCCCTTCCTAGTCTAAGACATAAATCATCCTTGCAGATTTTTCATTTACTTTTTTTCTTCCTTTCCCAGGTATTTATAAAGGTTACTATCTCATTCCTGCATTTTTCCCTCCATATTCTTCCATGTCCCAGAAGCATTCCACATCTGTTTGTTAATCTTTCCCTCATATTTTTAAATCAACATTAGTGTTTAATTCTGTGCCTTTAAAGCAACGGGTCAGGAACAAATCTTAGTTGATGTGATTTCTGCTTTCAGAATATTGATATGTGTTCTATATTTACTGAGACAAAATAAGTTATTAAACCTCAATAAATTTCTGACTGGCCTCAGGACAGATGCTTTTTCTCTTAAGCATTCGAGCATCTATGTGAAGCAGGACTCGTGTGTGCTTTGAGAAAAGTGCTGGCTGCCCCATGCACGTCTGTACATGTGTGTAATTATGCCACCAGATCTAAAGGTTTTCTTGTGTACTTTTCACAGGAGTTTGCCATGTCTCAGAGCTACTCTGAGTTTTTCTACTTCTATTGGATGGGGCTCTTCCGCCCTGGTGGTGGCAAGGTCTGGCTGTGGATGGATGGAACCCCTTACACTTCTGAACTGTAAGCCCTCAGATATTTTATGGGAAAGGCATTTACAAGATAGTTTGGTTGAGTGATAGGGTTCAAGAATTTGGCTCATCAAGTATTAATCAAACTTCTGCTTTGTACTGGAGACTGTATTTGCAGGAGGATGACCAAAGATGTTTGCACCATAGTGCTTCCTCATTTTTTTTCTTTGATATAGTGTCTTGCTCTGTTGCCTAGGCTGGCGTGTAGTGGGATAATCTCTGCTCACTGAAACCTCTGCCTCCCAGGCTCAAGCTCTCCTCTCACCTCAGTCTCCCAAGTAGCTCAGACTACAGGTGTGCACCACTACATCTAGCTAATTTTTGTAAAGGTGGGTTTATGCTGTGTTGCCCTGTCTTGTTTAGAGCTTCTGAACTCAAGTGATTTGCCCATCTTGGCCTCCCAAAGTGGTGGGAATACAAGCATGAGCCACCGTACCCAGATAGTGCTTGCTCTTGAACTGCTTATAAGCCTGTGAGGGAGAAAGATGCATAGCATTAGTAAAATATCAGGGGTAGTTCTCTTGCTGCTTTCAGGAGTGTGTGTCTGGTATGTACTATGGATGAAAGAACGGAGAGACAGAGAGATAGTGAGAGAGAGATCTTTTATGGACGAGTAAACTGAAGCCCAGAAGTCCAGGCTGTAATGATTGTTGCCTAAAGTCACACAACTTGTCAATACTCAGAGATAGGACAAGATTTCTTGGCTTTCTGTGCAGTGAAATAGGGAGCACATCTTTAAAAACACAGTCTCTGAGAAAAGATTTGCAGAAAATACGAGCAATGGTGGAAAACACTAGTGGTACTTATGCTGTGAGCATTTAGGTAGGAGTTTACATGGTATCTGTGTTAGTCCATTCTTGCATCACTACAAAGGAATGCCTGAGCCTGGGTAGTTTATAAAGAAAGGAGGCTTAATTGGCTCACAATTCTGCAGGCTGTACAAGCATCTGCTTGGCTTCTGGGGAGGCTTCAGGGAGCTTTGCTCATGTCAGAAGGCAAAGCAAGAGCTGGCATGTCCAATGGCAAGAGACAACACGAAAGAGAGGGGTGAGGGAGGGTCCAGGCCCTTTTAAACCACCAGATCTTGCATGAACTGAGCAAGAACTCACTTATCCCTAGAAGAGGGCACCAAGCCATTCATGAGGAATCCGCCCCATGACCCAAACACTTCCCACCAGGCCCTACCTCCAGCACTGGGGATGGCATTTCAACTGAGATTTGTAAAGGAGCTTTGGGGGACACACTGAAACCACAGTAACATGGTAACCACAAAGAGCAAGCATCCAAATCATATCAGTATCCTTTGAAATAAGAAAATGTAATTTCTCTATAGAAATATATCACATTTAAATCCATGTTGGAAGAGATACCATTCTTCCCTACATATAAGTTAGCATTAATTCTCCCAGGAGACAGGACATATTTGATGTAATCATTTGCATTTTACAGTTAAGTAAACTGAGTTACAGAGGAGGTAGGTAACTTTTTAAGTGGCAGCAAACCCATATAATTTTGGGATAGAGGGCATAGCTTCGTTTTAGTTAGAGGTGATTTGTGTTGTTCTAGGTGACCTGTCGTTTCTAAGAATGAGTCTGGAAACTAAAGGGGCTGAAGAAAAAGAGTCACATGACCCCATTTTCCCAGTAAACTTATTCTGATATCTAGACTATAATTTTATCACCCTTGGAAGAATGGGTATTTAATATTTTATTTTAGAAATAAACTGTGATTAAATTTACTTTTTCTTCTTTTTTCAAGGTTTCATGTTATGATAGATGTCACCAGCCCAAGAAGCAGAGACTGTGTGGCCATCCTTAATAGGATGATCTTCTCAAAGGACTGCCAAGAATTGAAGCGGTGTGCGTGTGAGAGGAGGGCGGCCATGGTGAAGCCAGAAAGCCTCCGCTTCCTCCCTGAAACATCAGGTGAAGGTGACTGACTCCCCAGCTGCAACCACAAACAGCAGAGTGAGCCAGGCAATGCCAATGCAAGGGCTACTTGAGACGTGGGGAAATGGAACATAATCAGGCAAGACTGTTTCTCTGACTAGTACAAGATGGGTTCTCACGTTTCCTGCTCAGGATCACCAGCATTTCTAAGCTTGGGTCCATGCACATATTTAACAGTCACAAGAAGTCTTATTTACATGCCACCAACAACCTCAGAAACCCATACTGCCATCTACCTTCTAGGCTTAGAGATAACTTTTAGCTTTCTTTCTTCTCAACATCGAATATCACCTCCTTGTTTCCATGTCTTCCTTATACTTGGAGGAGTGGGAAACTTTTTGAAGTAGGGGAAATACATGAAAGTAACATCCTTTTTCCTGACAGTCAAGTTGTCCATGAGAAATTAGCAGTCACTCCCCAGATTGTACCACCGAATACACAAGAAATTCTTCGTGTTTGTTTCAGTTCATACTAGTCGCTTCTTAATCTCTCAGTAAAGACCCCATCTGCTTTCTCTATGGCCTGCTTCTGAACAGGAGTGTCTCTTGTTATGAGACTGTCAGTGTCTTATAAACATTCCTCTCTGCAGCCACTAAGACCCTGATAATTGTCTATCTTCCATATGAATTTCTCCCAGGAAAGAAATATATCCCCATCTCATTTCCATATCAGAATTACTGTCCCCAATATTCCCTTCAAAGAGATTAAAGACTAGAAAAAAGTCAGTCTTTTCATCTGCACCTGTAATACTTTGATTTCAGTTCCTATTTTCTTCCATTGACCCATATTTATGCCTTTGAGGTACCAAAGATTTAATAATAATAAATGTAAATACTGTGAAGTGTGTGTGATTTTACAATGGACTTTTGATTTGTGGGAAAATTCAGCGTGAAAATACTTTTCAAAATATGATAACAATCATTATTTTGAATAGACACCTTACTGAGAGTTTTTGGGGACTCTACAAGAGTACCGATTACATGATTATTTGGGGAAATAAGCCATCTTTGAAATACATGTTGTCTTCAAGAGAACAGTTTTAACACCTAACTAAAATGAAATCTTTTGAGGAGAGCTTATGGCATTAACACATGGTTGATGAGTAAGCCGAGCTGCATTAGTGCACATGATTTCCAATCAGGTCATGGGACATGAACAGAGGCAGTGACATCTTTGCAGCTACTCCTTTGTGAGGCATTTCTTTCTTGAGATGATTCCATGCACAAATGCAACAGGGATCATTGTGAGAGACACCATTGCAACCACCAAGTCTACTGGTTTTTTTATAAATCAATTTTGGGGGTTTAATGCTAGAAAAGATAACATTATAAATCTTCGTTTTTCAACAGTGGAAACTGAAGTACTTCAGTTGTGTTTTTCATAAACATCTGTCTCATGGTAAAATGACAGACAGGAGCAACTATATGATAGAAAGAACACACTGGTGCTCATTTTCATAAACTTCCTTTTGTAAGATTGTCACTTAGCAAAGACTATTGCAAATTCTTCCTTGAGAACTTTCCTTTCAATTATCTGTTGATTTCCTTAAAATTTTCTTTAGTGTTGAGCACGTTCTGTTAATACATTGTGTCATGCAAAGAAAACTGTATTTGTGGTCAGAAAATGAAGATTTTAGAGTTCTTATTCTGATTTACTTATTAGGCAAGTTGCTTTACTTCATGAAGTCTATTTCACTGCAGATGAAGTAGAAGCAGTTATAACTTCCTCATAATGTTACTGTTAGCTGAAATGAGGTAAATGTGAAATCCATTTCATAATGTAAATTGCAATATAAAATGTCAGGGAAGTCAAGAAAGTATTTCTAAAAGGACTCTAGTAATTTATTTTTAAATATGGGGGGCACACACATGGCCGATCAATGCTAAAAAGAAAAAACTTCAGCTGAATTAAATTTAAAAGTTTAATTGAGCAATGAACCATTTACAAATCAGGCAGCCACAGTAGAGTCAGACTCACAGTAGACTCAGAGGCTCCAGCGCAGCCATGTGGTAGAAGAAGATTTATGGACAGAAAAAGGAAAATATAGTATAGAAAACAGAAGTGAGGTGCAGAAAAAACTGGATTGGTCACAGCTCGGCACTTGCCTTATTTGAACACAGTTCAAACAGTTGGCTACATGTGATTGGCCAAAACACAGTGATTGGCACAAGTGTAGGCTGGGGTCTGTTTACACCTCAACTTGTTAGAGTTCACATGATGTACAGAGAAACCTGTAGGCTGATCTTAAAATATGCAAGAAGGCAGTGTTAGGCTAAACTTGATTTATTAATAACAATAGACTTCTTTGGAGATTTTTATGAACAAATTGTAGAAGGGCACATATACTGGGGAGCTAAGGACATTATTTGCAAATATTTTCTACAATGAGTGCAGACGTTCAATGAAAGTAGTTTATATAATAGGTACACAACAAGAAATGAGAAGTAAGCCTGCAGTTAAGTAATTGGTATGTAAGTCTTGTGGCTACAGAAAGAAAATATGGCTGATAGGAGAAATGTGGATTAACCGTAAAACAGAAACATGCACTGATTTAAATTTTGACGCCTAGCATCCTATGTAGCTGCAGCCTAGCTCAGGGATGGATGGAAAGCCTCTTTTTAAGTGCTTGATTTGAAGAGTCCAGCTGCCTGCAGAGTGAGTGTTGAATGGTATTCTCGTTCTAAGTCTGGGACTAAGGGATAGTTACTTTAGATAGTGAGGAGGAAAAAATAGCATACATTTGACATACTTCAGCTCCTTCCTTGAGCTTATTCTTTTTCATCTTTCCTCTCCATACCTTCATCTTTATAGCAAAATTCACAATATTGATCACAATATGAACAAACATTTTAAAACAATAGAAAAAGTGTATAGCATAGCATTCTCACCATACACTTTTGAAAAATCGATATTAAGAATAGGAAATAATGAGGCCGGGTGCGGTGGCTCAAGCCTGTAATCCCAGCACTTTGGGAGGCCAAGGCGGGTGGATCACGAGGTCAAGAGATCAAGACCATCCTGGTCAACATGGTGAAACCCCGTCTCT